CGGGTGTGGACATGGCACTGCTTGGCAAAAGCCATGCTGTGGTAGGTGTCCCACATATAAAGTAGAGGAAGATGGGCATGGATGTTAGCTCAGGGCCAGGCTTCCTCAGAAAAAAGAGGAGGACTGGCAGATGTTAGCTCAGGCCTAATCTTCCTGGGGCGGGGGGGGGGGGAAGATTGCTTCTGGCTGTGAAGCGCCATGGCTAGGATGTGGTTTTTTGCTCAGCAGAGGTATATTTCTGCCTCTTCCACCCTTGTCAGTTTTGTTCCTTGTTGTGGGGGTTCTTTTCATCCAGTTTCCAGATGTCTCTCAGAGGAAACTGTTCCACAGGTAGTTGTAGATTTATGTCCGTGAGAGGATGTGAGTTCAGAGTCTTCCCACGCTGCTGCCATGTCCCCAGAATCCCCTGCTACCAGTTTTTTAATTTGAATATTGTGCTGAAGGTCTTAGAAGATTAAGACAAATAAGAGAAATGAAAAGATATTCATTGAAAAGGAAGGAAAAGAATTGTCATTATTTGCAGATGATTTGAGTACCCATATGGAAAATCTACCAAAAATTGAAACCAGTGAGAGTTCAAGAAAGTTGCTAGAATATAAAATCAGTATATAAATATCAATAGTATTCCTATACACCACCAACACACTCAGAAAATGTAATTAATAGAAGAAATTGTTGTCGATAGCAAGAAAAATTATAACTCTATAAGGTATTTATAAAGGAAATTATAAATTAGAACCTTGTATTTAAGATTTATCCATGGAGGGGCTGGCCTGGTGGCATTGTGGTTAGGCTCATGTGCTCCAGTTCAGCAGCCTGAGGTTTGCAGATTTGGATCCTAGGCGTGGACCTAGCACTGCTGGTTAAGCCACACTGTGGTGGCATCCCACACAAAATAGAGGAAGATTTGCATAGATGTTAGTTCAGCAACAATCTTCCTCAAGCAAAAAAAAAAGAAGATTGGCAACATAAATTAGCTCAGGGCCAATCTTCCTCACACACACAAAATAAAGATTTATCCATGGAGATAGATGTGATTCTAGTTCATTCACTTAATTCCTATGTAGTATCCCATAATCTATTGATAGTATAATTTATTTATCCATTCTCTTGTTTCATGGACATTTCAATGGTTTTCAATTTTTTTCTGTTATGAACAATGCTGCTGCAACAAAACAGTTTTAATAAGTAGTTCCTTGTGTGTATATGCAAGATTCTTTTTCTAAGATATTTCTAGAAGTAGAATTGTTCATGCATGGATTTTGACACATTTTCAACTTTTTTAGATATTGTCAACTTGCTCTCCAAAGTGATTTTACCAATTTACACTCTCACCAGCAGTGTATACATGTTCTAGTCACTCTAATTCCGCCTTAACCCTTGATGTTGTCACACTTGTTCCATTTTTCCCTCCAAACCTATGGTTATTAATGCCCTCTCATTGCAAATTCCACAAGAATGTACGCTCCCTAGGAACTGTAACTGTTTTTCTTCCTTGCTGTTTCCTCAGGGCTAGAATTGGGCCCATCCAATTGTAGGGACTCATATTTGTGGAGGGAATGGGTGGAGAAAGAATCACTAGTGAGGCTGAGCATCCTTGATGTTTTTATTACTGACCAGTATGTTAGAGAGGAAGCTCAAGGTGTGGGAAACAAGACTATCATTACACTCATTTTTAAAATTTCAATCTGAAATCAGCATGTCAACTGAGGGGATAGTAAAAATCACTCTGTTTTTGACAGAGAGAGACTATCAAACTGTTAAAATGAGGGCAACACTGACCACACAAGCACTAGAAAAGGCCCTGGGCCTAGGAATCCAAAGACCTCAGCCTACTCCCCTTCCAACTAGTAGGATTACAACTTCATCCATATGGGCAGATTACTCCTTGACTCTCAAGTGCCCTCATCTTTTATTATTATTTTTTTTTTCGGTGAGAAGATTGGCCCTGAGCTAACATCTGTGCCAATCTTCCTCTATTTTGTATGTGGGATGCTGTCACAGCATGGCTTGACGAGCAGTGTGTAGGTCTGCGCCCAGGCTCCAAACCTGCAAACCCCAGGCCGCCAAAGTGGAGCATGCGAACTTAACCACTATGCCATTGGGCCAGCCCCAAGTGTCCTCATCTTAAAATAGAGATGATGATGATAATACCCATTTGGAATCCTGAGAAAAGAGCACACTCTTTACTAACTAGATCTTAACACAAAAATAGCAACCACCATCTAACCTCAGACACACCACAGAAAATGCCCCAGTTGGCACAAAAACATCCTTACATCACAGGTGTAGTTGGAATCTACTCTATGATTCATCCTTGATCCTTCCAGCAATGTCTCAAATCCGAAGCTTCCAATTAGCTGGCCTTTCTCAGACACTCTCATTCCAGTCCTGCTCCCTGCTGTTCTATCCGCCAACCCTCTCAACTATGCCACCTGGAAGCCCTGTTTGGCCAAGCACAAGCCACCATATCCCATCAACCTATTCACTGATTAGTCACTGAACTTTGTTCCCTCCCAAGGACACTTCTGTCCTGAGCTGCCCTCATAAGAAGGTTCTTCATTCTCCCACCCTCTATGCACTGCAGGGCTGAGACATGGCCACTAGCTTGTGGCAAGCCCAAGTTTTCTGGGGAATGAATATTATAAAATTTGGGGACTCTTTTTAAGAAAAACATTAAAAAATTATAAATATAAACATTTTGTGTTCTATCTCTCATCTTGCTGGTCACTCTGCCACATTCGTTGAGGACATGGGAATCTCTAAATGACTACAATATGAAGGAGGGGGTGACTTATCCAAAATCTGAGCCTCTCAGATTCTTCCTCAACACCAGTGACCTTCACCCCCACAGCACTGCAGCAAACCACTACTAGGCCACAATGTGGAGCAAGTGCTCCAACTCGGAAATCCTAAACTTAAAATTTCCATTGTCTGACCATATCCCCCTCCTCTAGCTCTTTCATTCTCATGTAGAAGACTGCCACCACTTTTTCTTCATTTGATCAGCTCCTTTCTGGCCCTGATGGTATTTTCTCTTCCTAACTATATGCTAGGCCACTAAATAGAGTAAGGTGAGGCACCAACGGTGCAAAATTTAAGGAGGCCCTCACACTCAGGGGCAATGCAAGTGCAGGGTATACATTATGTGCTATGACATATTACTTTAGTTTCTCACCATTGCACTGAACTTTCTTGAACCTTGACTTTTCTTCCCATAAGCCTTGCAAAACCAGTCTCGATCCATCTAACAATTCAGTGTCTCTCCCAAGAGACTGAATATGACTGAGCAAGTGACATATCACTGCAGATGAGGGCCAATATAAACTACTGGTCCCCACCCCAGGTCAGCCCTCAATTCTACCAGCAACCCTTTTGCTGTCTGTAGATTACCGCTTTTTCCATTCCCTACAGCAATGTGGCAGACATTGGTAGTTGTCTGCTCAATTAATACCCATTCTCTTCCTTAGTCACAGAATCCCCAGTTTTATTCCAAGTGGCAATATGCCCCAGCTAAAAAATCATTTCAGCCCAGGGGAAGTCAATGTGGTACAATCAGAAAGTCGCATGGGGTCTTCTGGTAAGTCTCCCTTAAGAGCAAAACTGGTAACTTAGCAGAAGCTGCTGTGTGCCCTTTCTACTCTTTTTCACCCTTTCCCTACTAATCCCCCTGCTTTATACTTGGAACTGGCATTTTGGAACAGGGGCAATTTGAAGATGAAAGCCAGTGCTAACAATGGTAGAGTAGAAAGAGAGGAGATTGGGTTCTTTGTGACAGCAAGGAGCTACCAGACCAGCTGTAGATGGCATGCTCCAGACTTCTTTATGTGAAAGAAAAACTTTTATCTAGTTTCAGCCACTGCTATTTCTGGTCAAACACAATTGCTACCTAATTAATGCAGTCAGTCATCTCACATTTTCAATGCTCCCTGCAAATCTTATTCCTGCTGTCCTACAATGAAAAAAATCAAGGTCATCAGATGCTAATATACTTAAATTCCTGCCTTCAGGACTTCATTTCCCTTCTGTCTCAACCTCTTTGTTCTGTCCAAGCAAAGCATTGTAACCAGGCTTACCTACTCTCCCCTTTTGCCTCCTCAGAATATCCTCCTAACATCCCTTCTCCCTCCACCATCTGTGACATCTCCTGGTCTCTCCATTCAAGCAATAAAATACTTAAATCTTTATCTTTGAAAAATAAAACAAAAAAGCCAAATCCTCCTTACCACTCCACGACTCCCGTTAACTACCACCCTACGTCTTTTCCTTCTCTCACATGAAAAGAAAGAGTAGTGACTATTTGCCAGGTTCACTTTCAAAGTGTCCATCCATCATCCATGCAACTAGAAGACAACTTCCCGTCCCACCACTTTCCCATATCAACGGCGTCCTAATAGCCAGAGCCCCTTCTCCCAGGTTTTACTCTCAGCAGCATCAAGCATGCTTGAGGGCCCCTCCCGTGTGAATATTCCTCCTCGCTGGCCTGTACTCTGTCCAGGTTGGCCTCCTCCTTCCTCTCTCCTTCTGCTCGGTCAGCGGCTTTAGGTCCCAGGAGGAAAGGAGACCAGGAGCTCGGAGGAGCGAAGAGAACCTGCCCCGACTCAACACACGCAAACGGAGGGGGCAGTCCCGCAGCATGGGGGAACTGCTCCGTCCTCTGGAAGAACAGATACCAGGGCGTCTAGATGCATGAAGGATGCGCAGAAGAGAGAATTAAGCGCACACGGAGCAGTACCCTACGCTGCTAGGTCTCAGCGCACCAGGGTTTCCTCCCGCGCCTTCAGGCGGGGCGGCCTTGCACATGGCGCATGCGCAGGCGAAGGGTGACGGGCGGCGCCTGCGCAACAGGCAGCACGTGCTGGCCCCGCGGCGCATGTAAAGGCAAGACGCCAGCGCAAGAGCTGCCGTACACGCTCCGGTGGCATAGGTTAGACTGGCGTGGCTTGGTGTGTTACCGTAGACCTTCCCAGTTGCAGGCGTCGAAGTAGAGCAGGTAGGGACGCAGAACGCAGAACAGGATCGTTTGGGGTGAGCGGGGATGCTCACCCTGGCTTTCGGGGGAGGTGAGGGGCTCCTCGGTAGCCGGGTGGAGTGAGCCGTGGGGAAGGAGAGCTGAGCCCCGGGATGGAGTGCTCAGGACCCGGGACGGGTTCGGGCCGGGACGGGGCTGGGCCGGCACGCTGGAGAGGCTGAGGACCAGCGTGGTGCGGGCCGGGCCTGAGCCGCCCTCGAGCACAGCCGCCGTGCGGGTCCCCTCCAGGGCCTCCAGGCCTCAGTCATCCCTCGGTGCTGCGGCCCCGGGAGCCTCGACCTGTCCAGGCACGACGGTGGGCTCGGCGTCTGGGCGCCGCTCCCCGGTAGTAAACGCAGTGCAGCCGTCTGTCCCCGATCCCGGGCGAGAGGGAAGAGAAGCTGAGGACCCTGCCCGCCAGGCTGCAGTTCCAAGGGAGACTAGGATGACGTGTCTACCCTCCCGGCATTTCACAGAGCTCAGCGCGACGGTCCTTTCCTAAATACGAACATGTGTTTTTCAGCCTACAAAATGAACTCTTCTTCGGAAAACCACGCACTTTTTGAGGGCAATAACACCAGACCCTTTTTCTATGTACACGCCATGGGCCAGCATCCTTGCCCGAGTCCCTGGTACCAGAATCTCACCTACAGCCCGTTCCCTATTCCTGGGGCAGGTAAGAGGTTTAGTGGGCTTGGGAACCCTCCCTGTAAACCAGTGCCTGAAGGTTTTCTACTGCTTTTCTCCATTACCTCCCTTTCCTGCCCCTGTCCTGACACAAGAGGGATTGGGGTAGCACGCAGGGGCAGTGTTTGAAGTTCCCGTTATTAGGAGAGATTTGGAGTCTAGCTCTAGGCCAGGTACTGTGCTAAATACTAGAAATAGATTCTCCCGGAGACCTGTCAGCAGCCCCGTGAGCTACGTATTATTGCTCTTCTTGCTTCCCAAATGACGGCACTGAGGCTGGAGAGTCAGTGACTTGCTCAGGGTCACACAGTAGTCAACTCCAAATGTCCTTATGTTCGGAGACTAGTCTGGTTGGAAGAGGTACTTTAGGGCTCCTAGTCCTGTAATGTTTTCAACAAAGCTGAAGATTCTAAAAGCTACTATGTTGAGGTCAACAAGTACTCTGGGGGAAGAATGCCAGCAAGACTTGAAAGTGTTTGGAAGGTGGATATCTGGGATCTCGTTGAGTACATGGTTTACTGTAATAGGCAGGGGCTTTAGGCAGGGCGGAGGCCTCCAGGGGGTGATTCTCCCTTCCCACACCTCCAGTAGCAAAGATAGTGTGTACCCTGCTGTGGATAAGGCATGCTGTGTACCTTATGCAACTGTTTTCCAAGTAGAAAACCAGGGGTAATGAGGAGCGCTTTTGAGTTCATCAGTCACTGCTCCCAGCTGGGTGGTAGAATCTTTAATTCATCCAGAGAGCTGTTGGTGGCAGCCATTTCAAAGTTGCAGTGGGACCAAGAAGGAATTCTGCCAGTATATGGCCTATGGACTTCAGCTTTTTACTGTGTCTCCAGAGTGACTGTCTACCTGGCAGATTTTGGAGGTACATGTCCCCGTGAGCCAATTCTTTAGAGAAGTTTTTCTTTATATAAACCGTTGACTGTTTTCTCTGGAGAGCTCTAACAGATGTTGAAATGCTATTTTGAAGTGGTACAGAGGAAGAAATTGTATGAGAAAAACCCTTGAGTACAGAGGGTGGGAAATTCCTGAGAGAAATACATATTGTATCTTCAACATTCTTTGAATTAAAAGGCTGAGATTCTATACTTAGGCGGTTTTACCATACCATTCCCCTTAAGGTTTAAAATATTTGTCCTTTGGTGATCAGGCTAGTTTAGCTTGTGGAGTTTGAGTCCCTTAAAATATTTGTCCTTTAAAGTTGGGGTTTAGGAGGATTAAAGTAGTGAGTACTGGCAGCAGGAATGGGATTTTTTTTTTATTGCAACCTAACAGATTTTGGTGAAAAAATAAATGTATAGGATTTATTGTCTTGTGTAACCTGAAATTCCAAAAGTGAAGCCACTTCAGGCTGCTAGATAGGGAATCAAAGGATATAAACTATTTTTGAGTCTCTATCTCCTTCTCTCTAGGTTTTGACTTTTTCTGTGTTGGCCTCATTCTCTGCCATCATTTCAAAGTGACAGAGTCACAGCATTTCCAGGCCTGTAATGATTTTATGGCTAGTGTTCCCAAAGAAGAGCCCTCTCTTCCAGTAGTTTCAGCAAGAATTCAAAGCTGATTCTCCTTGGTCTGGCTTTGTCGCGTGCCCTCCCTGTTTTAATTACCAAGCCAGGGAGATGGACTAGTCTTCTAGACCAGTCTAGGTTATCTGCCCCATGTTGAAGGTGGTGAGAGCCTATCCTATATCATTTGGACAGAGAAGGTCTGTCGTTTTTCAGAGGACCTTGGGAGCCTATTACCACAAGGAGATAGAATGGATGCTGGGTACAGAAAAGATGTTGACTATAGATTCACTGAAGATAATTTACATCATTTTTGGATAGAGTTAGTGAGCTACGAAGTGAGAGGAATGTATTAGAAGTTGTTAAATAGCTTGATGAAATTGTGTAGTAAACAGCATGACAGTGTCATGGCCCAGGTGTACAGACGTTCCTTGAGTGAATACAAGATGAATTCAGTTGAGCAAGTGGACTCAAAGCATTCTGGTTGTATTAACCTACAGGTCAGCTTCTCATGGCCTGTTTTATACCTAGTTGTTTTAACTAGAAATTATTTAGAATTAGAGATGTAACTGCTCTCTGAATTACAGAACATCTTTCCAGTTGAAACTGGCTTAAATTATTTTTTATTGAAAAAGTAACCAAATACATGTGGTTAAAAGTTAAAATAGTGTACAAGCATAGAATGAGGTCTTTCCGTTACAATGCCTTTTCCCAGTCTCCCAGTCCCCCCTCCTGAGGCAAAAACTGTTGCCAGTTATTTGGTTATTTTTCCATGTATAGTCTATGTATATTCTCTACCTCTTTTTATTAGGGTTTATTTTTTAGAGCAGTTTTAGGTTCCTAGCAACATGAAGCAGAAGGTAGATTTCCCATATACCCTCAACCACGCAAAGCCTCCCCCATTATCAGCATCCTCCGCCAGAGTGGTACGCTTGTTACAATCAGTGAATCTACAGTGACACCTGATCACCTGAAGACCATAGTTTACACGGCAGTTCACTCTTGGTGCTGTACTTTCTGTGGGTTTGGATAAATGCATAATGACAGGTGTCTACCATTATAGTAGTCTACTGAATAGTTTTACTGCCCTAAAAATCCTCTACTCTGCCTATTCATGCCTCCATCCTTCCTAACCCCTGACAACCACCAATAGTCTTACTGTCTCCATAACTTCACCTGTTCTGGAAAGTCATATCATTGGAATCATACAGTATGTGGCTTTTTCAGTTTGGCTTCTTTTACATAGTAATATGCACTTAATGTGTTTTCATAACTTGATAACTCATTTGTTTTTACTGATGAATAATATTACATTTTCTGAATGTACTGCACTTTATATATCTACTCACCCACCTAATCTTGGTTGCTTCCAGGTTTTGGCAAGAGTATATCTAATTTTGTAAGAAACTGCCAAACTGTCGTCCAGAGCAGCTGCACCATTTTGCTTTGCCACCAGCAATGACAAAGAGTTCTCATTGATCCACATCCTCTCCAGCATTTGGTGTTGTCAGTGTTCAGGCTTTTAGCCGCTCTAATACATACGTAGTGGTATCTCATTGCTTTAATTTGTGATTCCCTACTGACATAATTCTGCAGAGCATCTTTTCATATGTTTATTTGCCATCTATATATCTTTGGTGAGATGTCTGTTAAGATCTGGCCTCTTTTTTACTTGAGTTGTTCTCTTAATGTTTTAAGAGTTCTTTGTATATTTTGGATAACGGTCCTCTATCAGATATGTCTTTTGCAAATATTTTCTCCCAGTCTGTGGGTTGTCTTCTCATTCACTTGACAGCGTCTTTTGCAGAGGTTTTAATTTGAATGAAGTCCAGCTTATCATTTTTTGCATGGATTGTGCCATTGGTGTTGTATCTAAAAAGTCATCACCATAGCAAGGTCATCTAGGTTTTCTCTTGTGTTGTCTTCTGGGAGTTTTATAGTTTTGAATTTTACATTTGGGTCTGTGATCCATCGTGAGTTAATATTTGTGAAGGGTGTAAGGTCTGTGTCTAGACTCATTGTTTGCATGTGGATGTCCAGTTGTTCCAGGATCATTTGTTGAAAGACTGTCTTTGCTCCATTGTATTGCCTTTGCTACTTTGTCAAAGGTCAGTTGACTATACTGATTTGGGTCTGTTTGTGGGCTCTCTGTTCGGTTCCATTGATCTATTTGTAATTTCTTCCTTAAATGTTTGGTAGAATTCACCAGTGAGCCCCTCCAGTCCTGGTGCTTTCTATTTTGGAAGGTTATTAGTTATTGACTCAATTTCTTTAATATAGGCCTACACAGATCGTCCATTTCTTCTTGTGTGAGTTTTGGCAAATTTTGTCTTCCAAGGAATTGGTCCATTTTATCTAGGTTATGAAATTTGTGGGAATAGAGTTCATGGTATTCCTTTATCTTTTTAATGTCCATGGGATTTGTAGTGATGTACTCTCTTTCATTTCTTATATTAGTAATTTGTGTCTTCTCTTTTTTACTTAATTAGCCTGGCTAGAGGCTTAATCACCTTTATTGATCTTTTCAATGAATCAGCTTTTGGTTTTGTTGTCTCTATTTTATATTTCCTGTTTTCAATTAAGATTGATTCTGCTCAATTTTTATTTCTTTTCTTCTTACTTTGGATTTAATTTGCTGTTCATTTTCTAGTTTCCTAAGTTAGATGCTAGATGATTGATTTTCTGATCTTTTTTAAGACAGTCATGCATCACTTAACGATGGGATATGTTCTGAGAAACACATCTTAGATGATTTCATTGTTGTGTGAACATCATAGAATGGGAATAAAATTGCCACATGAAAATGTGTCTCATTAACTTGAGGATTATTTTTGGCTGATTATTTTTAAGAAACTAAAGACTCAGAAGTTTTTCTTGTTACTTCATTCTTAAGTGCCTAAAAGAATTCAGATTAAAAAAACGTGTCCCAGAAAGTGAGCTATCACTTTAGCATAATATGAACTAGGTGGTAGACAGGGAGGACCTAGAAAAGCCTGTTTGATGGGCTCCTGTTCTCCTGTTTCTCTGTGGCCAAATACTTGTTTTCCCAATGTTTGCTCATTTTCACCTACCTGTGAATTGCCTTCCTTACCTTTGGAGTCCCTGACTTTCCCCACCCCCAACATCTTCTTTTGTCTTTGGCTCAGGATGATATTTAGGGTGAGAGCTTCAGCCATTTTGGCGAGTTACTCAGTTTTCCTGGGTTTCTCCTATGTATATATGTTATTAATCTTTTGTTTGTTTTTCTCCTGTTAATCTGTCTCATGTCAATTTAATTCTCAGACCAGCCAAAAGAATTTAGAAGGGGAGAGGAAAATTTCTTCCTCACCTACAGTACTTACACAAGCCTAGGTGGCATAGCCTATTACACACCTATGCTACATGGTACTAATCTTATGGGACTACCATCATATATGCAGTCCATCATTGACCGAAACATTGTTATGTGGTGCATGATTGCATACGCATTCAATGCTGTAAATTTCCTTCTAAGCACTGCTTTCATGCTGTTCAACAAATTTTAACGAGTTGTATTTTCATTTAGTTCAAAGTACTTTTTAATTTCTCCTGAGATTTCTTCATTCAATCATGTGTTATTTAGTAGTGTGTTTAATCTACAAGTATTTTGGGATTTTCCAGCTCTTTTTGTTTTCTACATTAATTTAGTTGTGGTCTAAGAGCAGACGTTGTATAATTAATATACTTTTCAATTTGTAAAAGTGTGTTTTATGCCCCACTGTGTGGTCTGTCTTGGCAAATGTTCCATGTGAGTATGAGACCAATGTGTATTCTTTGTGAATGAAGTAGTCTATAGATGTCAGTCAAAGTTGGCTGATGGTGCTGTTGAGTTCAACTGTGTCATGACTGATTTTTTTACCTCCTGCATCTGTGCATTTCTGATAGGGGAGTGTTAAGTCTTTAACGATAATAATGGATTAATCTCTTTGTCCGTGCAGTTCTCTCACTTGTTGCCCCATGTAGTATCACCGTCTGTTAGGGGAATACAGTTTAAAGATTGTTAAATCTCAGTGAAGAATTGACCTTTTATGTAATGCCCCTCTTTATCCCGGATCACTTACCTTGCTCTGAAGTCTGCTCTGTCTGAAATAAACACAGCTTCTCCCACTTTCTTTTGATTAGTGTTAGCATGGTACATGTTTCTCCATCCACTTAATTTTAATTGCTGTCTTAATTTTAAAGTGAGTTTTTATACCCAACAGTATTTGTCTTTCAGTATGCCTTGTGGTGTTTTCTTGATCACCAGTCTTTCTGTACTGGATGAAAGGAACTGCTCTAAACAGGTCTTTAGTAATGTGATATGTTCTTGGAGCTGGGGAAGGGAATCATAGTCCTGTGGTTATCAAAGGGCTATGATTAGGTCTCAGTCTTTTAATGAGATTGTGCCTTTGGACCGTGAACTACACATATGCTTCAATTCTCCCCACCCACTGAGTTGGGAAGGGTGCTAGAGTGGCCTGGAGATAATTATTTCCTTTTCCCCAAGTCACTGAGGAGCTGATTAACTATTACTCCTGAGGGCCAACCTGGTTAAGAAGAGTGGAGTGCTTCTGGTGTATATGCAGTGGTTTCTTTTCCCCTCTCTCGGCGAGAAGCACAGGGGATTTTTTTTCCCTAGGTTTACTGTGAGAAACTGGTTGAACTACTGCAGGTAAAACTCAGAAAAGCATGTGGGGGTCCCCCTATGCCTGGGTCCCCTGAAATTTTTAACTCTCGGACTTGCTGACCCTGAGCCTACAATTTGTCAGTAAGACTTCAGGTTTCCCTACCCTACTCCTAGTTCCTGTGGAGTTTTCATCTCTTGGGTTTGTGCTCCTGTGAGCTGTGATTGTATTCATGTCTCTTCAATATTGAGGGTAGCAATTTGCCCCGTAACCTCACTGCTGTGACAGATCTAAGAAGAGTTCTTGATTTTTCAGTTCAACTTTTTTTACTTCATTAGGAATGAGTAACTTCCAAGCTTCATACATATTCAGAATGAGGAAGTCGACCACTTTGTAATATTAGTTGGACATGCAGTATGCGGTGCAGTCCAACTGAAATAGGGGGCTGAATTTGAATAAATACTAAATTCTTTTTGTCTCAGTGTCCTCCTTTGTATAGGATGAATTAGGTTTTTTTTTGCCATTGGCCAGCATCTCCCCATTTCTGCCACCACCCAGCCCCTGGCAACCACCGTTCTATTCTCTGTTTCTATAAGTTCATCTTTTCTAGATTTTACATATAAGTAAGATCATACAGCGTTTGTCTTTCTCTGTCCAGCTGATTTCTCTTATCAAAATGCCCTCAAGGTCCATCTGTTGTTGCAAATGGCAGGATTTCCTTTTCTAACAAAATGAATTAGGTTTTGGTAGCAGTTGGAAGGGAGCAGGGGAAGGAGGATGTCCTAGAAAAGGGAAGAGAAGTTGGCATAATGGAGAAACCCACATATGACTGGAGCCTACAGCTTACTCTTAATGGGAGAGTATTGAGAGAATACAGTGAGAAACCAGATAATGAAGGTCTTTATGGCATTCTAAGGTATATGGTCATTGTTCCGCATTTCCTGACAGGCAATGGTAAGCCATTCAAATACTGTAACTGGAGTGAGGGATCAAAGTTGGGTCAGAAAGATTGTTCTGGAAGCAGTATGGGTTACCGACCTGTGAGATGGTCAGGGATGGGTCAAGAAAGTTACTAGTAAATATATGGGTAAAAACTTGGAGAGGACTTCAAGTCCTTTGCATTGGTAACAGAAGAGGGAAGGCATTTATGAAGAGTAGACATAGGTTTTGTTTAGGGAGAGAGAAAAAAACAACTTTAATACCTATTTTTTGCAGTGGGTGACTGGATAGCGGTCCTGTGATGGTTTCTAGTGGCAGAGATCTGCTATTAAGGTATTTTGTCGTACTGTCTTAGACAGTACAATGTGTATTCTGGGATTTTTATCAGGGAAGTTATCTGACACTGTAGTTACATGAATTTCATTCTTTTGGCTTCTAAACTCTTAAAACAATGCTGAAATCCAAGCTGAGACTTCTTTCCTTTCTTTCATTAGAGGAAAAAAACCCCAAATGCTTGTACAGATATATTATTCCAGGTATGGGAGGCACTTTGATACATTCCTCAGCAGTGAAATTGAGTTCGTAAGATCAACCTCACAATATTGAGTAAATCGCCTCATGAGCACTGATTTGAGTATAACTATTGCTTCTTCTATAAACTTAGTAGAAGTTTTATCTTAACTTCATTTGTCAGTTATATAAACCTGTCTTGCAAAACCAAATGGCTTTCCCAAAAATGTATTTGTATGAGAGAAATGCCTGGAATTATTGACACCATTGCAATGATTACCTCTGAAGAATTCAAATGGGAGAAGATGTGTGTGTTAAAGGATAGTGCTGAATTGTAGATTTAGAAAGGTTTTTAAATCCAAAGGACTTTTGTTTCCATTTGTTCTGTAAGGCCTGACATGAATTAGCCTTTCTGAAGCGATGACAACCTAAATTATGCTTAGTGGTAGTCGGTCTCTTTTAAAAAGAGTCACTAAATATGGGTGATGTTTGTGATATGCCGACTAACTGATATGGCCTAGGAACTAACCAGTGAGTACAGATGCCTACTCTAGTGCTGAAGAGGGGTCCCAGAGGCCACTGTTACAGTCATTGCCCCTTCATTTGTTGAATCCTGGGAATATCCAAGGAGGAACTGGGGGCATTAGTTACCAAGTGGCATGGAAGAAATTCAACATTTTAATTGGTACGGCCATATAGGTGCATATTGGCTGCAAGAGACAAAATGACTAGCTACTGTATTCTCTTTCTAGGTTTCAGAAATGGAGGTCTGTATTTCCCATATTCAGTGGTACTCAATGAATATCCTGGCTTTCTTGTACCTCAGTCCCCATTGCCCACTACACTTAACCGAAGACCCATATTCCCTGTGTTTTGTAATCCAGCACAATTCCGGCACTATAGTGGCTATGGAAAAAAAATGAAAACAAAAGAGACTCAAACTGAACCTCAGCAGGCTGAAAACATGAGCAAAAAACAAGACATCCACTCAGAAGTCAATGGCCATGACACAGGTAGGGTGACCAGTATCCCTGCTACAAATGTTGACATCGAAACTGACAACATTCCTGCAAAAACAGTTGGGGCTCTGTCTTCTGTTGCCCAGAAGAGGGAGCTACTTGATAAGAGCCCTTCTAATAACGCTGTTAATAGAAAGACGCTTCACAGAAGCTTTACATCTGAGAAAGAGAAAATGAGGATAGAGCAGGGTGAAGGATCCCCTGTAATACAGTTCCGGAAGACTTTGAAAGAAATCATGCGTTTGCTTGACCTAGCATACGGTGAAGCTGTGCCAGAGAACATGGTGCAGCAAAATGAGTTTTCACAGAGTTCATGTGAAATTAGGGGTATGCTCTGTAACCCTCATGAGGATGAAGATGGCATTACATATGAAGATGAACAAAGAGCTGTTCCGTTGGAGCAGCATCTTGATATTGTAAGGCATAATGAGATGTCAAAGTCAGGATTAACCATGGAAGTGAACTTGGATAAAGAAAAGAAAGGATTCTCAGCTGTTCCCCAAATCCTGCCATCTCCAGATGAAGTAAAAGGTGAAGATGAGATCCAGAATACCTTGATCTCAAAATTGTGCCAGTCTACTGGAGATGGCAACAAGCTCCAGCAGGAAAGCCCACTCGGCGTTAGCATGGAAACAGTTAATGACCTGAGCCTACAGTCTCAAACCCAGACCCCCCTTAGCATTGGGGAAGGAAAGCCCCACAACAGTAGTGGGAGCCATGGCTCCCTGGAGAAACAGGATGAAGATGAAGTGGTAGAGAGTAATAACTCCCCCCAGGGGTGTGTTCCCTCCCCTACGTGGGTGGCAGAGTTCAACCGAGTGGATGAAAGCATCATGTGTGATGTGAGCTGGTGGCTGGATGCAGAGGTGGCGAAATCTCCGGAGTCATCACCAGAAAGTTGTAGAAAGGGAACAGAGAAAAAGTTCGTTGGGAGTAGGGAACTGAATGAAGATGAAGTGGTAGAGAATAATAACTACTCCCAAGGGTGCCTTCCCTCCCATACCTGGTTGGTCCCATTCAACCGAGTAGATGAAGGCATCCAGTGTGACATGAGCTGGTGGCAGGATAGAGAGCTGGAGAAATCCCCCGAGTCATCACCAAAAATTAGTAGAAACGGAACAGGCAAAAAGTCAGTCGGGAATAGGAAACTGGATGAAGGTGAAGCGAGAGAGAGTAATAGCTACCCTGAGAAATATGTCCCTTCCCCTACCTTGTTGGCCCAGTCCAAACGAGTGGATGTAGGCATCATGTGTAATATGGGCTTGTGCCACAGTGAGGAGGTCAGAACAACCCCTAAGGAAATTTCCTCAGCCGATGAAGAGTCATTGCAAGACTGCAATTCTAAGGGGTCAGACAAGTCAGGCACGAGTAGGGAATGCATCCAGTGTGATAGGAGCTGGTGGCAGGATGCAGAGCTCCAGAAATCCACTGAGCAAATGCCCCCTATAGATGAAGAGTCGTCACCAGACTGCAAAATAAAGGGATCATGGAAAAAGTCAATCAGGAATAGGAAATTAAACACAGATGAAGAAGAAATGATCATAGATGATGAGACTGAGGAGGTATATAATGAGAACTTCACAAAGTATGCAAAAACTAAAAAGACTGCGAAAGGCAGGAAGCTGAATGTGCTGAACAGCTTCTCAAATGGTAAGACAGTCTATTTGTTGAAGAAAAACGCTGCCTTGAACTTTGTACTTCCTGAGGATTCAGAAGACACTGAGTTGGAACAGGAAGTTGAAGATGAAATGTATGAGGTAGCATGCCTTTTTGGGGAGGTTAGTCCACAGGGCCCTCTGACATCTTCCATAGGAAGGTTGTATCGCAAGTCTGGCAGGATAATCAGGATACCACCTGAGAGCTCTCTCCCTCCCCAACTTATTGTATGGCCCAGATATAGGTACAAGTTGAAGTGTGGTGAATATGAGAGCATCCCTATGGTTTACAAGGTGAAGAGACAGGATGGCTGTGAAATCACTTACGGCAGGCTCCACAAGAAACATACCATGGCCAAGCAGGAGAGATTGGAGTCCAAGAGAGCCTCTCACAGTTCATTGGAATGTAAGTGACTAATGGGCTCCTATACATTTGGTTGTCTCTGGTTGTTGCATACTGGGTCCTAGATGTAGAAGCAGCCATGGATGAGTAGTATTTCTCCATTTGGAAAGCATGTCCTTACTTAAGCTATAGGTGCCATATTTGTAGGATTTGCAAAGAGAATCTCTAGTTAAGAGTTTCTGTTTTCTATGAAATTATAATGTAATTTGAAACAAAGACCTCTAGTAGACGATGATAAAGAACGAGGTGATGTTGGTAAATAAGAGTTGGGTTGAGATCGCAAAGGAGAGAGAGATGGACATAGATGGAGCTGGAGTTGCTGAGAATGGGCAGTCCATGTGGAGGCAGTGAATTCTTTTTTTTTTTTTTTTTTTGAGGAAGATTAGGCCTGAGCTAACATCTGCTGCCAGTCCTCCTCTTTTTGATGAGGAAAACTGGCCTTGAGCTAACATCCGTGCCCATCTTCCTCTACTTTATATGTGGGATGCCTGCCACAGCATGGCTTGCCACACGGTACCAGGTCTACACCCGGGATCCGAACCGACGAACCCTGGGCCACCGAAGCAGAACGTGCGCACTTAACCGCTGCACCACTGGGCCAGCTCCCGAGGCAGTGAGTTTGTATATGGATTTAGGAGTTGTGGTTTGGAGTGGGAAAGAAGAGAAAGTTTGGAGTAGGAATGGAGACAGTAGCTTGAACTCAGATGTGCAGCCAGGGCAGGTCAAGAGTTTCCAGGGATTCAGCCTGAGACCATCCTGCCAGAGGGAAGACTGGTGATGAATTGGGACAGAAGAGAGGCCAAGCAGAATTGGGCTAAAGTAATAGATTTTCCCTTTAGTTTTTATTTTTATTCTGTAGGTAATAAGGGGCCGATTCAAATTGAGTAGAGAAATGACAGGAAGAAATGTGCTCTAGGAATCTTCAACTGGCAGTATTGTTAGGCAGAATTAGAATGGAGAGTGCTGATTTGGCTGAAAATCTTGTATAAAGTTAGTTTAATTCAACGTTGGATATGGAGAGATGAGAGTCCCAACTCACATGGGAGTAAAAACACCGCAGGGGATTTATTAACAAAATTGATTCTTTAAAAAAATGCTGAGGTTTGAACTAGGATACCTGGAGACAATGATAGCATCCCTGGAAACAGTTTGGGAAGAGAAGTTGTTTTGCTTTATTGCGTAGTTGTGGGTGGGAGGAGTGTATAAAATGGTGAGTTTGAGGGACTGGATCAGCAGATCATCCACATCTGGTTGAAGCTGGAGTTTGGACCACCCTGTGAATGGGGGGTGGGAGGGAGCTCAAGGAGGACTGGGAAGGGCCCAAAGCAGAGCTTTGGGGAATGATCACATCTGGGGAGCAAAGGATGAATGAAAGCAGGTAAGTGAATGGGAGGCATAAGGGCCCCAGGGAAATTTAATTAAGTACCATTCTTAGCCCCAAGACCTTTAGACCCAACAAGTATTTAAGCCTACCTTTTCTTTTAAAAGTGGGGGTATTGTCAAATCTTCACTCTTGGCTGTTAGTTGTCTTGACTTTGATTCATACCCAGTGATTTGGAAAGGGTTTTTTTTTTTAAAACAAGCTGACTTTATGATATGAGCAGAGTTTTTTGCCTTTGGTATGGTTAGTCCTTTCTTATAAAGGAGGGCAAGAATGAATGTTCTGGGCCACTGTGCTTACAGAACCCTCATGCATAAACTTCGTAATGAATGGGAGCATTCCAGATGTGTAAGCCCTAGTTCCTGACGACTAACATTGTAAAATTAATAGTCAAACACTGGCCACCTGACCTTTAGTCTTAATTGCCTCTGCTGTCATTTCCCATCATAGTGTGTAGAAGCCTTTTTTCTGTCTTGGGAAACGACATTGGTTTTAACTTTATTCCCTTGCCTACCTTAATACTGTAGTTTATCAGCTTGAGCACTTTCTCCTTTGACCACGTCTGAAAGAAAGTCTTTTTGGGTAGTCCTATCACAGCTGTGTGAAGCGGATATTGAGAACTTTAATTTACTCGAAGTTACACAGTCAGGATTTTAATTTCCAGGCTGAAGGCTCTCTCCTCTAGGTTGTGTTTGTTATTATTTTTGCCAAATAATTTTTTTTGCTGCTAAGAATTGTAGAATGGTATAAAATAGCATCTTGAAAAATAGGTAATTTTCTTGAAAGAGACGTTTTTGATTTGTTTTTCTCTCTGGTTTTTAAGCAACTTGGATTATTGAATGTATGAATCCCTTCTTCCCTCAGGTAACTGTGAGAGAGCGAAAACCAAGGTACCTTACAAATTAACAAGTAAAAACAAAGATTCGAGGCAGATGCAGTAAAGTTTAGGAAATACCCAGCAGATATAGAGGTGGGTATCTATCTTGTGTCCAGTTTTATGATTTGCTTTTCGGATTTAATTTGTTTAGGGTTTCCTTCTCAGTGCCTTTTCTGCCCTCCAAAACTAATACTTCCTGTGGGCAATGAAAAATGGCAGCATTCTAACCAGCTAAAAGACATTTCTGTAGACCCTAGCTTATAAATTTATTGGAGCCAAAGCCTTTCAGTTTGATGGAATGTTATTTTTATCCTGGTTTTTCACTTTTAATTCCTGATGTTGCTAATGATAGTAAATTGTGGGTTATATGGGATTTGGTAAGTTACCCTGGTGGCTTCACTCTTAAAGTGTCCCAGTTTGAAGCTGGGTACTGGAAGCTCTTAGTATCTCCCTCAAGGGGCTAGTAGCATGATAGCATGACCGGCTTTCCTTCAGAGTCTTGGCATTGAGTATCCCTACCACGGCCCCAACTCCTAGGCCTGGGGGGTAAGGGAGCAGTCACTTGAGGGTGCTTTAAAGGCTATTCCCGCCATACATTGGTCATAAAAGGAAAGACTGATAACCAAGTTCAGGCAAAATGTCAGAACCTTTAGCTTTATCTTACAGAGATGGAAACTAAAGATTCCTAATGATTCTGTGTATAATGTATCTTGAGTCTGTTATACAACAGATATCAGGAAGTGTATCATTCTGTTGTTATTTCATAGGAAACAAATTGCTGAGTTCCACCTACAAAGAAGAGCTAAATATTGCATTGTCGTGATGGTTTGGAGCATGTGATCTCTCTCTTGATTTGAACTAATAAAGCTATTATACCTACAAACAAGTTAAGAAAACGGGACGTTGTAAAGCCTTTGGAATTATAAGTTGGAAAACAGCAAATAAATTGAATTGCATATGCATGTCATTCTTAAGCATTTTCTTCCTCTCTTAAAATGGCCACATCACTAATAACACCAATAGAGTTGAGTCATTCATGAATACTTCTGGTGTGTATGCTTCAGTCTTGTATTCTCCAAGGATCTATGGGTAAGGGAGAAAGGATGGTGGAATTGAGGACATTAATAAATAAGTAGATGAAGGATTCCCCATAAACAGGAACTACCCTGGGGACAGAGACTGTGCCTTACCCATTTTTTATAAATGGAGACCAGGCACATAGATCCACTGATGGATATGACCAGGGGTGGTGGGTTGTAGTATCCTATGTTCTTTACTTCCAATCAGTGTGCTTTCCTAGAAACAGAGGAAGCTTTAGGCAAACAAAAGTTCTTTATACTTAGAATCTAGGACCTACAGGCGAAGTGTGTTACTAGGTGCCAGAAAGGTTTATGTGTGGTTGAAGGCGCTCTCTCAGTTATTTGAAAGAACAGGGCAGATGTGGGAGAGAATGGGGGTGCCTCCAAGTAAGGCTCTCTGAGTGACAGTATGGAGAGTGTGGCGATACATATGGATGGGTCCACCCAATATTGCTTCTAAGCTACCCTGTGATGAAAATGTCCTCTTTTTAACTCCCTGTAGTAATCAAATACCTCTCAAGATAGTTTAAGGAGACTGGTACAAAGTGATGGCACTGCATTTTCTTCAGATGAGATGCAAAAAGGCAAGCAAAAGAAATTGTTTCCAAGGCTGGTCTTATGGGAAGTTCTGTGACTTTTTGCCTAACCCCTACTTCAAGATCTGGTGAGACTATATATTCCTTAGGGTCATGGATTCATTGTATCTACTGCAGTATCTTGAAAAGTTAGTATAGTTGTGTGATATATGAAAATTTATATGATGTGTCCTGACACATCATATGCATTCAAGTATTTGTGAATGAATGGCTTAGTGTCAGTTTAGATTAAATGACTTGGCCTTGTGGTCATTGTTCCCACCATCATTCCAAGCTAGCAGAACACAACTAAAGGGGAAAGACTGAGATAGGAATGCGTTGGCTGGAGTAACTGAAGAGCAGGGAAGACTTGAGTCCAGATGACGCAACTTCCTTGCTCTTATGAGAACCAGGAAGGCATTCCACTCCTATAACTATTCCCCACCGGAAATTCCAGCAATCTGATTTTTTCACCTGTAAATTCCCATGAGAAGATTAAAGGGAGTGGCTTTTCATTAGTGTGTTAGTATGAATGAGTTGAATCTAATCAGATTCAACTTTTTGACACTTGAGAAATAGTTTGCAGTGTTGTGGGTGAACTAACTCAAGGCACTTCAAGGGACCATAACTGGGGCTCTCTGGTTAGTAGGAATATGTTGGACCCTAGAAGGTGGGGAAGATGATTATTCCAGTATATGAAAGAGGAAGCACAAAAAGAGGAGGATAGTACCAGTGAACACTTTCCTGCTTTGTAATCCTTCTCAGTCTTACCTTTATCCTATAGGCTAAATGAAAAGTCAAGCGTAAGTTTGGAAAAGGGAGTCCAAAAGGAAAGGTAACTGCTGACAACACCTACCCTTTCATTTTCCCAACCAGCTATTGCACCGCTGTGGCAGGTTGAGTTTCCTTGGGACCAGACTCTGAGATGATTTGTGTGCAGGAAATTTAGTGGGGAGTACTTGGGGAATAACATCTCTGAGAGGGCAAAGAAAGCGTGATTAAGCAGAGGGATGCGTTTGGGTGTGATGCAGTCTCAACAAAGGCTTTAGCCAATCCCGTTGAGAATTTCTGAGCTGTGATGACCCTGCAGAGTTGTCCCAATTGGGGCAAAAGGCCACACCTTACATCCCTGTGTTGATCAGTCACAGTGACACAGGATGTCCCTACAAAGGGAGCATGACCTTGGGAAGGGTAGCTCTCCAGGAAAGAACACTCCCTGGAAAGGGAAGTCAGTTGCAAGCTGTCCAGGGTCAACCCGACCATCCCAGGAGCTGGGAGAGTAAATGCTTTAGTCCTGAAGTCAGGTGGAGGTTAGGCGGCAGATATGAATGGCACAACTCAGCATCCTCTACAACTTCCAAATCATGTTCCAACTGGAGAATGTAACCATACTTTTAATAAAATCCCACTGAACATCACTATGCACAATGCATTGTGTTATAAGGTGAGAATTCAACATGAAACAAGATGTCTCTGCCCTCAAGAAGCTTCCAGACATGTGAGTGGTTGCTAATTACCACAAATGTAGTGGCTTAAAACAGTACTCATTGACTTCTGGTTTCTGTTAGAAGTCTTCACTCTGTCCTATAGAAAGTAAAAAGCTAAGCAAACTAAAAAATAATCCAGTCTTCTTAAATCTATCAGAGAATTGAGGTCACCGGGCAAATGGCTGACCCAGAAACTGGAAAGACAGGCAGGTTCAGAGAATCACAACTTACAGATCAGAAACCTCTATGGGACCCAGTGCCAAGGTAAGACACTGATTATAACAGGTCTATCATTGTGGTGTTGATAGTTGTGGGGAAGGGAGTGTTGTGAGTGCTTGGGGACAGAAGATCTTTGGGAAACCTCTGTACTTTCTGATTAGTTCTGTTGTGAACCTAAATCTGCTGTAAAAGTTTATGAATTTTTTAACAAGTGAAAAGAAAATACCCATTTATTATCTCACAGGTCTGTAGGTCAGAAATCTGGGTAGACTAGACTGGGTTCTCTGCTTAGCACTTCATAATGCCAAAACAAGGTGTGGGCAGGGCTGGGCTATTACCTGAAGGCTCTAGAGAAGAATGCACGTCCAGGGTCATTGCGACTCTTAGCAGAATTGAGTTCCTTTGCAAAGTGTAGGACTGAGGTGCCCATTTTCTTGCTGGCTGTCGGTGAGGGATTGCTCTCAGCTCTGAGAAGCTGCCAAATTCCTTGCCATATGGACCTTTCATTTTAAAATAAAGGCCACCACGAACAGCACATCAACTCTTTCTCAAGCTCGGAATCTGACTTCCTCTTTACTACCTGCCAGAAAAAAATCCTCTGGTTTTTAAATTCTCATGTGATTTGGTTCCGATCACCCAAATAACCACCCTTTGAAAAGGTTCAACTGTGTCTTGTAACATAATGTAGTGATGGGAGGAAAACCTGTTATAGTAACAGTCCTATGGATTTGGGCAGGAAACCTTGGGGGCCGTTTTGCAGTTCTGCCTACTACAACCATGATGACGTGTTGGTGGGATACCTTGGTCAAGGGAGGTCTGGTGGCTGCTTTTGCCTTCCTGAATAGAATTGGAGAATGCTGAGTCTGAGGGGCGAGATTTTAGGATGAAGAAATTTGACTGATTACCTTTATGGGCTCAGCAGTCTGGGAAGTGGGGCAGAGGAGGAAGAGTTTGCTTTGAGGTTCTTCTGGGTAAGCTGCACTAAAGGACCAGAGGTCAAGGGAGATGACAGGCTGAAGTGGTGGACCATGGAACCTAGGCCAGAAACGGAAGACACAGAAACCTGGAGTGAAGAAGAGACAGGAATTAACTTGCAAGGGCAGTGGATGGTGAGATTCCAGTTAAAGCAGGAAGTGGAGGAAGGCTTCAGTAACAGGTTAAATATGCAAAGCAGTGGTTCTCCAAGTCTGCTCCCCAGACCAACAGCAGCAGTATCATTTGGGAACTTGTTAAAAATGCACATTCCCCAGTCCATCCCAGACGTAGTTAATCAAATTCTGAAACTCTAGGAGTAGGGCATAGGAATCTGTTTTAACAAGCACTCCAAGTGATTTTGATGCCCCATAAGTTGGAGAATCATTGATATTATTCTTCCATATTGTAATAGAATATGTTTATCATGAATGGGATTCCATTCTAGCAGGAGAAAGAAAATTCCTGGAAGGAGAATTTGCTGCTGCATGCTAAGTTAGGATGCCATGGATAAGGGTAAGGCATGGCTGAATTAACTGGTCTTAGGGTGTTCAGAAATAAGTCCTAGCCATTCCAGTCTGGACCAATTGTGTTACTTAGGTACATTTTCTAAGGCCAAGACTAGGAGCAGTTACTGAAGAGAATTGGAGAAGGAGCCAGCCTGGCCTGCATTGGTTATTCTTCAAAAAAGGGGGGAATCAAGCCCCGAGGAAAGAGGCAGGAAGTGGGAATAGTGAATTCCTGGGAGCTTGAGTGATAAAAGCAGTAACAGATCCTGGTGGAGATGGAGGGACACTTACTCATGAGCAAGATCTGACTCCACTTGGCTCGGCACAGAACAGACACCCTTCCCTAGCTGCAGGTACCACCGCAACCTGCCGAGCTGCCTCAGCTGCAGCACACTCAAGGCTAGGAGTTCTCAGGTGGGCTGTGCTTAGCCAAAAGATTGAGGATGAATTTGGGGGAGTGGATAGCTGACCTAGTGCAGTAATCCCTACATCCTTATAATTTTTCTGAATCAATTATTCTGGGAATAATAATCATGGGACAATGGCAATAAGATCCAAGCAAGTTAAATACATGATTTTTCATTGTTATTATAGGATATCCCACCCCCCAAAAAATTCAACCAATCATGCCAGGGGTTTATGAACACAGGTGTTTTGTATGCAACAAGGCCCAACATGCTTTATACTGTTGTTAAAAAATGAAAAATAAAAACTGTGGAGACAAATGTGTATAGTATGCATGTATTTATGTTAAAAAAAGAAAAAATAATTTGTGATATATAAAATATTTCTAGGTGATTCCATAAGAAACTGGTAACATTGTTAGCCATTAGGGAAGGGAACTGAGTAGCTGGGGGAGAAAGGTTTCTCATAATTAAACCTTATTTACCTTTTAAATTTGGACCATGTTAAGTATATTATGATTCAAAAATAAATGAGTATTTTTTAAATAAATAAAATCATCAGCTTTTATTGGCCTTAACAACAGAGAAAGTCAAGGCTGAAGTCAATGGGAATTGAGTGGCCCCACTCTGGAGGGTGGAAGCTGTGGCAGCATTTGGGGAGCTTCCTCAGAGATTCCCTCTGGCTGCCCCGGCAGAGGCATTTCTGAGGAATCACAAATCGCAGTGATCCGCAGGGAGGACACTGAGAAAAGCTGTCCTGCCTGGAATCAGCCGCTTTCCAGAGCTGGCACCCAGGAAGGTAGAGCTCCTCTCCTGTGGGTCACGTCCTTACTAGAAGGTAGGTGAGAATGCACACGTGTGACACCAAATGTCCTCCTCTCTCACTGTCTCTCTCTCGTTCCTCTCCCGTTCCGCATTCCTCTGATCTTTGAGAAGAGAGTGTTGAACAAGTCAAGTTCTTGTCAATCTGCGTCTGAACTCTCATTTGACTTGGAAGACTTATGCTTTAGTTTTTTCTTCCTTTTCTTTTCTTTCTTCTTTTTCTTGTTTTTCTCTTTACCTTCTGAGGAACTGGAGCTGCTCTCATCTTCATCTGAAGTGGAATCCTCCAGTAACTGTTTTAACTCCTGTATCCTAAACATGTAAGATTGACCAAAGAAACATATTTAACTTAAAAAAAATTTTTAGATAAAAATATAAGAGCAGTAGTGAAGGTAAAAAATGTCATGAATAACCACCTTACTAAAGACAGTATTTATTTTTATCTTTGCATGTTTTCCCCATTCTTGTCCACATCCATGCCTATTTTACATGAATGTAACCAGTGTACAAGCCATTTTGTATTCCTTTCATTGTCCTAAATATTCTGCATGGTTCTCTAGTCCTTATTATTGCGACTACTAACAACGCATCTTTTCCTAAATCACTCCCCCACTGCTCAACTTCATACAAGATAATCTACCTCCTCAATGATTACAACTGAATACCACCCTTTTGTTTTCTCACCCTGTCTTTATTCATGTCTGAGAATAATTTTTAAGCAATAGCTTAGATCCTTAAAGACATTGGAGAAAACAGACTAAATCATATGAAAGAGAATCAATCATATAGTAGACCTAGACACCACAATGTGGATTGCCAGCATCAACTATCAGTGGCGTTTGTGGGCTGGGCCAAGCCCACTGCTTTAAGCTAAGTCAAGTAGAACAAGGCTGGCCTGCTCATTCCCCACACACTGGTCTTTTCAGTGATTACTCCTGCCTTCTAAATATTTCACAAAGTACCATATTTACTAAACCACTCCTCTAATACTGGAATGGTTGTTTCCAACTTTATATAATTTAAAACTTTAAGAGGGTATTGTTATCATCAGGATGTCCTCATCTTACATCCTTTTCATGTTTTTGATTCTCTTGTATGATGTCATACATGGGATCTTCATGTGCCTTAAGGGTAAGAAAAGGTTAAGGTTGGGTTAGGCTCCATGGACTGTTAGTTAAATAAAAATTAAATCCCTATGCTACTAAAACCAGTGTTTTTTTTTTCCCACTTTGGTATAGTTTTTATTCAACATGTTTTAATCCTTCCTCAGGGTCACCATCACTGCAAACTCATTGAGGCTGTGGAAAGGATTTTCCAATTAGAAAAATACAGGATATAATTTAAATATCCTATAGGAAACAAACCATGGCAGAATCATGAAATACTAGTAAAGGTAGAAATATTGAAGTAATCCTTTGTTCTATGTTGATAGATGACAAAGAGATAGTATTAAGAAAAATAACTGAATTACAAAATGATATATAAGAATGAAACATTTATATATAGGTATACAAAAATATATGTTAAGTACCCCAAACAAAGTCTGGAAGTATAGATAACTTTAAATGACTTGAGTTACTTAAAAATAATACATTTAGGGGAAATGTTATGGTATGTGAGTGATCTCAATTTTAAAGATTTTATTATTTTTTTTATTTTTCCTTTTTCTCCCAAAGACCCCTGATACATAGTTGTGTATTTTTAGTTGTGGGTCCTTCTAGTTGTGGCATATGGGATGCTGCCTCAGCATGGCTGTGCCCAGGATTCGAATTGGCAAAACCCCAGGCTGTTGAAGCAGAGCGCGCGAACTTAACCACTCAGCCTCAACCTTAGAACCACTCAGGATCTAAGCTATTGCTTAAAAATTATTCTCAGACATGAATAAAGATAGGGTGAGAAACCACTCAGCCCCCTCAATTTTAAAAAAGAATGTTTATTGTAGAAATTTTAAGATGTTACCAAAAGCTAAATTTAAAAAAACCTATTACCTCACTACCCAGAGATAATTACTATTAACATTTGGTCTCTTTCTTTCAATCATTACTCATAATTTATAAAAAATTATAATCATTTATATAACTCTATTGCTTTTCACTTACATTTTCATGAATGTTTTCTCGTGACATTACACATTCTTCTAAAACACAATTCCTAATGGCTAAATAATTTCTATATTCCAGTAATTTATGTTGGTACGTTAGACTATTAAGTTTCCATTTTCTCAATCATATAAACAATTATGAAAGTTATCTTTATACATACATAAACATTTGTGTATATATTAATGTTTTCTTATATCCTGAAGGTAAATTCTTAGAAGTGGGATTTTTGAGTCAAAAAATAAAATGAATATGTTTAAAGTTTTTGAGATGTATCATCAAACTATATTTTATACGATCTGTAAAAGTTGACATTCCACCTAGAAGTGGAATAATTGATCCAAAATAAATTATTTCAGATTATTAAAATGAAAACACAATATTTTAAATGTCTTAAAAACTTTGGAGAATGTCTGTTGATCCCAGTCTGATAGATGCTGATAACCTGAGAACATCTAGACAGCAGTCTGTTTCACTTGGCAGAAGCAGTTACTGAATGCTGGATTAACACCTCTGAGAGGTGACTGTTAAAATAAGGCGAGGGAAGGATGGATCTATTTTACTGTCATCTAAAGAGCACATATAATTTATATTTACACTCCTAACTTAAAATTTAAAGACATCTAATATTTAGATAAAGACTGGGAAATTAAAACCCTGACTTTAGTTATGAAAAATTATTTTTTATATAATAAGTCTAAAAAAGCGATTGAATAAATCATGTCTGCCTCAGAAAAAGAATCACTATTCCCAAGGTATAAGCAAATAACACTTTAATAAGAAGTTAGCTTTCTGTTAAAGAACTAACCTGTCACACAGTGTGATTCAACAGTGATGTAGTTAACGCTGGACACTAACCGACAGGCTTCCGGGCATGGATTTTATGTGACCTTCCAGTTCACTGATTAGTGCCTGAATCATTGATATTCACCATCTCTGATGAATGTAAATTGACATGATGGGGGTTCTACTTACTACTCTGAAACTGTTCTAACTTTTGGGTGCCTTTGATAAAAAAAGGGCATTCTTTGTCGCCTGTTCGGTGACCATACCGTTTACAACGCCAACCCAAAAACAAACAAAAAAGGGAAATATCTCTGTAGATAATACAGTTTTCATTTAATGAAGATGAAGAATCAGCAGAACATACTAAAGTTTCCTTCATTAAACTCCACTTCTAAAAGCAAATGCACTCAGTGGATGAACCATGTAAGATCCTAGAACATAAAGGGAAACTGCTTCCCCAAGCATCCTTTAATCTTTTAGCTTTAGCAATAAATACTACTACACCAGGTATTTATTTAATAATCCAATGTAAAAGTACTGTAAAGAGTGAATTTATTTATTTTTAGTCTGTAGCTTACTATATTTTTCAAAGAATCTTTTCTATTCATCAAGTGACTGTGATCCTCGTTTATTATTATTCTTTTTTTTAATATTATTTGCTGAGGAAGATTAGTCCTGAGCTAACATCTGTGCCAATCTTCCTCTATTTTCTATCTGGGTCACTGTCTCAGCATGGCTGACCAGTAGTGTAGGTCCCTGCCTGGGATCCGAACCTGCAAACCTGGGCTGCTGAAGCAGAGCGCACTGAACTTTAACCACTACGTCATGGGGCCTGCCCCCTCATTTATAATTTTAGACACTAAAGCTGATAGTTTCTTTCTCTGACTGAGTCAACCACTGCACAAATCCCTCATTTTTAACTAAACAAAATCATGAATTCTCTCAAAATATTAATTCCATCAGCACCCTAATACAACTTTACCTGCTGAACAGGGAAATTGTCTTGTTTAAAGAGGTTTATTATTAGATGCAGCAAAATGCCCTGATGTGTAGCTGGGAGGAGACATAATAAGAAAATGCATATACAAGTTCCAGGGCAATAGAGAGAAACATACATCTTCATGGAATTTCAATGACTATGGACTTGGCATCAGGCATTGAGATGTGGGAAAAATGAAGTGATGAACAAAGCAGGAATGGAAGAGATCCTTATTACTTCTCTCACCTGTTTTCATCTTCTCAGAACCATCTGGATTTGAAGCAAATCAGGAAGTCATATGAGAATGGTGGGCCAAATGAGACCCTGTGTTTGGACATTAAGCAACTCCAACCCAAAAGGTCTGGAAGCATGAAGAGGGATTATAGCTAAGATCAAGCCAATTTTGCTCTATGCTGGCAACTACTGAATGGAGTGAAAGTTTTTCCCCTTTTAATTTTGAGGGGGTGGATGCATGAAACCATTGAAAAAAATGAAAGTTTAGGGGATTCTCTATTGCTTGGGCTCTGAGCTATCCCTGTCTTTATCTCCCCAAACATTTAAGGTTCAGGAAAAGATTATACTCCTTCAAACCAATGTCTTTCCTTTGTGCTCAAGACTCTTACTGTTAAAGGAAAGGTGATTCTTGCAATTCAAAATGTGGTCAATGGACAAAAAAACTGGCAACACATGGGAGACTGTTAGTAATGCAGAGTATTAGGTCCACCCCAGAAATACACATATTTTCAAAAGGTTTATTGGATTTGTAGACATATTAAAGTTTGAGAACCTCTGTTCTAGATAACACTACAATCAATAAAAATCAATGGAAGTATGTATGTGTATATGTGTCTTTCATCCCATCTTGGATAAATCCAAGTTTTGTGGAGCCTGAGCTTAAATTGTTTTCAGTGGGAGGGGGCTATTTAGGAAAAAAAATATCTTGCCTTAGCAAATTTTGCAAAATCATAGACCATATCAACACATCACTGCAGTCCCAGCAAGCCTTTGAAAGGCACAAGTGAGGGGCTCTGAAGCTTAAGCTTCATCTGATTCTTGGTAAAACTGGCTCTGGTCCTAACACAAAACTCTTATTTCCGAAGTCAATGCAAATAACTATAAAATGGTAAGTGTAATGCAACTACCCACTTCATCAAACAGAGCAATGGTTTTCAAAAAAAAAAAAAGCTGTAGACTTCTGGGTAAAGAGGACAGACTAAACACATTCATCTGCTTTCATTCCCTTCCTGAGATTCCATGAAAATGACAATGAAAAGAATTCTCTTCAAAAGGAATAAGTCAAGAAGTACCTCAAGAATGGCCAAGTGACAACCTCCATAAATCTGTTCCTCCATACTAGCATTGAAAATAGTTGCAAATTTGCCCAAATAAACTTATTTGCAACCCCGAAAACTAACCAGAGGCTTGCCACAATCTGAGGATAATTAATT